GTGCTTAGTCATGAGGGAAGAGGGTGGCTTATGCATGTCTACAAAGCATCACCTGTTAGTTGATTCCAGAAATTCATGAACTGGATTTTGAGGTAGCTGCTTATCTTCCCTTTTTAAACAGCAGTTATTTTGCTATTATAGCCAATGCCAGTGAAACAAACGAAAGTAAATATGCTACATACGGAAAGCATCTGTAAGTCAAAGTTTCTGCTTAATGATCCCACCATTTCATTGTGTTCCCCCTGTTTGTTTGTAGCTATCAGTGCTCTCTCCTCAGAGTTTTAGGACATAAGATCATTGGAATAGGCACTGTTTTTTCCTCTATGTTTGTACAATGCCTCACCCAACGGGCCCTGATCCTTGATTAGGCCACTAGGCAGTACTGCAATTCAAGTAACAAACAATTAATAATCATAACTATATAGTTCACTATCAAGAACTTTAATTTGGGGAAGGATATCATTGTTTTGTTTGGTTCCTTTAATGGATTTAGGAATCGCTTAATAACTGGGCTGTGGAACATAACTGGAAGAAGAGGGGAGATAAAGATTATGAGCCCAATCCTGCAATCCTGACTCCCATGGAAGCTTTGCATATGCAAAGACTGTAAATCAATCCTTAAATGTAGCTAATTCTTTGCTAAATACTCTGTTGTTAAAATACTAGACATAGGGCTAGATTGCCTTTGGGTTGTATGCAGGGGGACTCCATTGCAGCAGATGCCCTGGAGGAATTCCGGGGCTCTGGAGGACCATTTACTGCAATGGAAACTCAGCAATCCTTTAAATTAGTACCATGTGCATTCCCCTCCCCCGCAATCAGCTGAGAGTGGACCACATGCCCATCCCCTTCCAGTCCCTTTGAAGACACTTGTGCTGTCAGTAGCACAAGCCTCATAGATGCCTGTATTATTATTGGCACCTGACTAGGGGCACAACTGTCTAAGGGCCAGCTATGCTTCATATTTAGAAACAGCAATTAAAAAACCCAATCAGTTAAAAGAAAAATAAAGGCGTATCAGTCAGTACAGGAATCAACATCAGTACCCTGTTACTGTGATTCTTACTAATGTTGATCCAAATCAATTTTCATTCAGTCTTCAAAACCCCCATTGAAGCCAAAGGGATTTTTCTTGAGTAAAAAGAAGAACAGGAGTACTTGTGGCACCTTAGAGACTAACAAATTTATTAGAGCATAAGCTCTATATAAGACTATATATAGTCTATATGCATCTGAAGAAGTGGGCTGTAGTCCACGAAAGCTTATGCTCTAATAAATTTGTTAGTCTCTAAGGTGCCACAAGTACTCCTGTTCTTCTTTTTGCCGATACAGACTAACACGGCTGCTACTCTGAAACCTTTCTTGAGTAAGAACATAGTGAAAATTGAGTAAGGCCCTCAGGAACTGTCTTGTTAATAGGAAGCACATGCATGAATTCCCTTAATGATATTTCTGGGTGTATAGTTATATAGAACCAATCACAACACTGATCTTCTACTACTTAGTGATTTGTTGCTTTTTAAAAAACACACAGAAAATTAACTGAAACATTCAAAACAGTTGCAATAAAATGACTTAAGAATAAGAAAAATCAGCATAATAAATAAAGATTTATCAGAATTCACCATCACTTATAATATTACATTGGGGAACAATCTGCTTTCAATAAGTCTATTATTGACTTTAAAAATTAAATTAGTGGGTATATCATAACAACACAGCAAAATAAATTGCTTGAAAATAACATGGAAAGCGTTGTGCCCATGACACCTCAACGAACTAGCTTGGAGAATCTTGTGGGCATTTTAAAAAAAATGTAAGCTAGTTAATTTAGACAGTGCACATATGCTTTTTGTGCTTGCTTTCCATGAATACTCTAGAAAAGTGTTTTAGCGCAGAAACATATATGGAAATAGTAAATTTAAGCAAGTATTGGTTTATGCTCACCACAACTGGGAACAGAAAGAAAACCTTGTGACCTATGTATCAATCAAAAGTAATTAAAGTCACTCAAATTTCAAATACCAAATATTCAAAACTAATTACTGACACCTGAGTTACAGAACAAGAAATAGCTAGTGAAATTATTCTGAATTTTTTTGAATAGTGAATACTTCCAAAAAAATCAAAAGGTGCTTTCAGTCAATTCCAAAACATAAAGAGGCAAAAATCATTAAGTAAATTATTTCCTGTGAATTATTTGCTTAGCTTTGTACAAAACACAGTTTTGCTTCTACTTATAAACTATTTTTTGCTTTACTGATTAAACTGTTGGTTAAAATCATTCTAGCACTGACTGCCATAGAAATACATTTATATTGACTGAACTGGGCCTGAATTTAGGAACTGATCTATAGGAACTGAAAGAAAAGTCAAGTAGAAAAAAATTAGATTCAGCAGTAATGTCAATGTCAGTATCATAAAGCAAAAGTTAAAAACTGAAGCTATAATATTGATCAACTTTACCATCTTACAGGCATTTGTTGTCGTGTCTTAGTATGTAAAATACATACTTAAATTGGAGAAGGAGAATCATTTTTTATGGAAAGAACATACTATGACAAACTTTTCATGATACACTGATATCTGGTACAGGGCAATATACTTTTCAGATCAGGTATTATCAAGGAATGGATGCTGTCTACTAGGGCTACTCACAGAAATGTATAAAAATATGTAAACATACTATGACAAACTTTTCATGATACACTGATATCTGGTACAGGGCAATATACTTTTCAGATCAGGTATTATCAAGGAATGGATGCTGTCTACTAGGGCTATTCACAGAAATGTATAAAAATATGTAAACCAGTAATGCAATATTTTAATAAACTGATGTCTAAGTAGATTCAAATCTGACAGCAGCTCCTATAAGAATACCTACCAAATATTACTCTGATGTTTAGCTTCCAATTTCAACATCCATGTCTAATGATTTGATCAAATATCTCCCCCACTGACAATAGTCTATATCAGGGGTCGGCAACCTTTCAGAAGTGGTGTGCCGAGTCTTCGTTTATTCACTCTAATTTAAGGTTTTGCGTGCCAGTAATACATTTTAACGTTTTTAGATGATCTCTTTCTATAAGTCTACAATATATAACTAAACTATTGTTGTATGTAAAGTAAATAAGGTTTTTAAAATGTTTAAGAAACTTCATTTAAAATTAAATTAAAATGCAGAGCCCCCTGGACATGGTGACCAGGACCCGGGCAGTGTGAGTGCCACTGAAAATCAGCTCGCGTGCCGCCTTCGGCACGCGTGCCATAGGTTGCCTACCCCTGGTCTATATTTACATTGTGCAGAATTGTTTAAAAATGATTCTTCATAGTCTCATAATTAAATCTCTAAGTAATTTTTCACATTAATCTTCAGTGAGATCTAGAGGGATTAAAAATGTTCAACATAACTACGCACAGGAAATTCTAATATCAACCAGGGTACAACAGACAAGACTAATTTGCAAAAGACAGACTGGACACTGCAGGTCATACAAGTTCCAGTGTACCTCATGGGCCACACTGGGTCCTTTTTAGCTAACAAGTAATGCATTATTATCATCTTTAAAAAGTTACTTTATGCATATTATTACAGACTGATGCTAGGGAAAATATATATTTTTGAACATTGGTTACTAGACAGAACGTTAGTGTCATATTCCAGACAAACAACTCTTTTGGAGATGGAGGAAGTGGGTCACAAACAAAATTTATCAGTCCACATCCTTACTTTTAAATGTCTGGGCAATTATAGTTGATCCTTTTCATTTAAGTTAACTTAAATATAACAATACTATTAAATTGGAAGTCCAAGGTACATTAAAAAATAATAATTTCTTGATAACTTCCTGTGCTTATCTCCAAAAGGCTACACATAGATATCAGTCTAATGTCATAATATAAAGTTATAATAATACTATCACAGCATTGTATCATGTGAATATACTCCCTCACAGTTACAACACTACAGGAACTTGCAGTCCCCAGCTGCCAAGTACCCTGGAGAGAAACGACCCCAGGAAAATTACAAAATGCTCCTGAAAATCTGGGGCATGCCACCCATATATAATATATTTCAACATAGTATCTCTGCTGTGGCATGACTGAACTCAGGGCTCGCTGACTTTTCTTGGTTGAGAAGTCAAAGAGAAAATGTTGCTTTTCATTCATTATCAGGTAAGCAAAGTGAGTAACACTCCCTCGCCATCTCCCCTCTCCACATGTTGTACCAATGGACGTAGCCACCTGTAACTATCACAGAATACCAATGGGCACAGTTTACTGTCTATCTCCATCAATATCACACACGTAGCACCATTGGACATACATCCCCATGTGTATTCCACCATCCCCATACAGTACCCATGAACACTGTCCATCTGCTTGCCCCCAAACCACTTTACATAGCCCACATGAGATACAGCCTCCTCCTCCAGTATAATCCACTACCTATGCTACTAACTCCATAGACCACCCATACGTAAAGCCTTCTGTGTATCTCACTGCCCCTAGATGCCCCCATGGACGCAGCTCACCCCGGAGCTCCCATGAACAGAGTTCTTCATTCCTCCCCAAACCCCTATGGGAACTGCGCGCTGCCCACAGAGCCCCCATGGGCATTAGCCCCATCCTCGCTCTCAGCCCTCGCCACCATGCCCACAACCCCCGCACTCCATGAAGCCTCCCCTTCATCAACAGTCCACCACCACCCTCCCACAGCCTCCTGCCTGCCACCCCAAAGATCCCCCAGGAGCACAGCCCTCCTTTCTACCCCGTCTGCCCCCCACGGGCACAGCCCGCGCCCCCGGCAGACCCTTCTCTCTCCCCCGGGGTACAGCCCCCCCTGCCTACTTCTACTCCAAAAGAGACCCCCTCCCCCCTTAGATCCCCACGGACGCAGCCCCCTGTCTGTACCTGCCCCCCACACCTCCTTCCTGCCCCCAGAGAGCCCCCCTGCCGCGCCGGGGGATGGTCCCCGCAGCAGCTCACACACTGACCTGACGCTGTCAAGACTCAGCAGGAGAAACTGTTCCCTTCTAGTGGGATAAACTCCCCCCGCCCGGCCCGTCCTCCCGACGAGCACCGCCTCCCTGCTCGGCAGGCACCGCCTCCCCGCCCTGCTGCTGGCCCGCCCAGAGCCTGGGGGCGCCGGGCGGCGCTGCCCGCTGTCCGCTGCCCTGGGCGCTGGGCCTCCCGCGCGACCCGCGGCGAGGGTCAGGGCCGTTGATGCCGGGCTCTGGAGCCTTGGCGGGAAACGGGGCACGGAGGGGGATGGGCGGACAAAAGCATGGGACGGGTAGGGCATGGGGTGCGGGACACAAAAGAGAATATGACATAAAGAGGGCTCGGGAAGGAAATGGCATAGAGGGGAATGTGGCATGTAGGGAGTATGTGGGACGTGTTGCTTCTCTTTCCTCTCACCCCACCTCCACACTCTGAGGGGAGTCCAACCCATGCAATAGCATTTCTATTTCTATTTCTAACCCTGTTAGTCTTAGTGAAATTCCAAATGTGTAATTGATATTTTTGGTTTTTGGTTTCTGAAGTGGACCTGGAGTTTGAAACCTGAACTCTGCTGGTCTTTTCTGAAATGTATCTAACAATGCAGGTTTTCTGGCTGTCCAATCAATACCCATGTTCCCTTTCCAGTTTCCAGTGCTGCATGGAGTTTTTGTTTTTGTCACCCCAGGTCAGTCTGTATTCTTCTCTGACAGTTTTCAGAGTGGTAGCCGTGTTAGTCTGTATCAGCAAAAAGAACGAGGAGTACTTGTGTCACCCTTAGAGACTAACAAATTGATTTGGGCATAAGCTTTCGTGGTCTAAAACCCACTTCATCGGATGCATGCAGTGGAAAATACATGTTCTCGCTGTATATATATCTTCCTACTGTATTTTCCACTGCATGCATGCGATGAAGTGGGTTTTAGCCCATGAAAGCTTATGCCCAAATAAATTTGTTAGTCTCTAAGGGTGACACAAGTACTCCTCGTTCTTTTTGCTGATACAGACTAACACGGCTACCACTCTGAAAACT